AAAAGGTGCGCTAAGTTCTCGAAGCGCACTTAATCAGTAAAATCAACTATTTCTTTAAAACTATTGTTATATATGATATAGAACACGTGAGACGTAACGTAAGAATTGACCAATTACCATCAAGTATTCATAAAATGGCGACTTACAATTCGACGATTCTCAACATGATTGGTCAATTCTTACGTTACGTTTTATGGTTCCTGCACACAGGACGCGGTAATGCTTGCCGCGCGGCGGAAGTTCGCGCGACAGCCAATCAATATATTGTTTTTTCGTTAAGAGCTAGAAGGTTATTACGGAAAGCAGCATATTGATTGACTGTCACGCAAACTTCCGCCGCGCGGCAAGCATTATCGTGTAATTTAGTTTTCGGGAAAATGTCGTGTAATCAGAAAGCTACTTTGCAACTGTTGTAAAATTCGTGAATTTGATTGGAGTATGCTTTTAATTTTTGTTAAATCCAAAAGCATATATCAATCAGATTCACAAATTTTACAACAGTTGCAAAATAGTTTTCTCTGCTGAACGCAGCCTTTTAGCGTGTTCGACTGGTCCTGGGTTAATCGCTCTGAGAGCAATTATTGATGTCATAAGTCTCTACTAGCCAGTCATAAAGCTTATAAATACTTGTCCTACCAATAAACGTAGGCTGAATAATCCAGAGTGGGTTAACCCAGAGCGAGTCAAACATGCTATTTGCTTATTGGATGTTAAACATAGAACGTGTTAAAGATAGAATGCGGTGTTGTGAACATATAACGAAACGCATCCTTAATCGGCTGGTTATTCTAACAGTTATTCTGTTATTCTAAATCTTATCTGGTTATTCTAAATTAACCAATCACATCTATTAATTCTAACAAAGAGAAGTGCGATTGGTCAATTCCGTTCCGGAATAATCAGCCGGTTAACTAACTAAAGTTAATAGAAATGGACAAACTTAAGTAGTATAAAGATTGACCAATCATTATCGATTATTAGTAATAAAGGTTCAAATTACTAATGTAATTGGAGTATACTTTTAGACTTAAAAGAAAATATATTTGTCTCTAATTTATTGCACCAGTTGAACAGTGCAGTTATAAAAAAACAGGCCAAAGAACAGATCTAAGTTACCGACAGAAGTATTTGTATTTGTTATATCTCAACGTTGGTTTTAATTTAATTATCTATCAAATAGTATAAACGAGTTGATTATGGAGATCCAGCCACTAAAAACACCCGAAAAACCACCGCCATATTCTGTCGCGACGGCTCCAGCAGGTGTGTGACGATTTCTAATTTGTAGGTTAGATTACGTTAGGTTAGATTGATTTGCAAGTATTTCTTTATATTATCATTCTGTTTTACAATGATCTTCATAATATATATATAACATGCAATTACACATCGATATATTACATTGATATTTAACTTATTATACAGTGCAAACTAAAAATATAACTATAACGTGAAGTGTAAATGTATGATTACATATTCTTTTGTAAAAATAATTTGTAAATAAATAAAGATAAAGTTAATTTATTGCATTGTAGTGAATATGTTATTAATTATTCTCAAATTTACGCAATTCTTGGTAATTACTCGTTTTAATGGATATAGTTGTAATGATTTTGACATATATTATCAAAAACAAACTCCTGAGTAACCTGCAGAAAATTTTAGCTATTAGTTTTTACTTAACAATAAGTTATTAATACACATATGAAATTTCAACAATAAAACATTTAACGTTAATACTGAAGTTCATAATTTGTTGATGCAGACATTGTTGATGTCTAGACATCATATATGGGTGGACAAAGACTAAAATTTTTTGGAAATTATTCCAGAAGGATGTTCTTGCATGTCAAAATCATTGCAAATGTATTTCTTAATATGAATAATTACTTAATTTCCTTTAAAGATTAGGAAGATAAATTGATTGCATTTTTCTTGCAAATCAACTATCGTACATATATAAATCTAGTTCAAAAAATTTATTTAACTCTGATAGTAATACATTCATTTTATGTATTGGATATATTATTAAAAATGTTATATAAAATTTGCTGAATCATACTTATGAGTGTTAATTATTTTCTTTTTTATTTTATTTTTAATATGGTTTTCATGCATAATTTTAAAGTGATTCTTGAAAGCAAATTAGAATAAAATTTACACCTGTATATTTAGAAGATATTTGGTATTATTGTCAAGATTAGTCTGTTATAAATTTTTCTGATTATTTTTATCGATAATATTTACCACAGAAATATTTTAGTAAGACAATTTTTTTTAGTAGTAAATTCATCATGGCAACCACCTCCTGGATACTATGCTAGCAATAATGAAACTAATCATCAAGGAAACTATATTCCATCATATGGTGCTACACATTCTACGACAGTAATTGTACCGGAAATTATTTTGGTTGGTGGCTGTCCTGCTTGCAGAGTATGTATATTAACATTGTTTAACTATTATCATATATTTAATTTTTTTCTATTTAAAGATAAAGTAGTTTATTTAATGACGTTTTATATCTACATAAAACAGGTAGGTGTGATGGAAGATGACTATACATTTCTTGGCCTGCTTTGTGCAATTCTCTTCTTTCCCATTGGACTTATTTGCTGTATGTTGTTGAAGACAAAACGTTGCTCAAATTGTGGTGCTTATTTTGGCTAATTCAAAACAACAATCGTTCTTATACTTTCATATAAACAATAATTCCATTTTAAATAGATTGAAAATCAAATTCAGATGTTAATAATCAGTTAATTAATTTTGTAAGTGTATGAATAATGTTTAGTTAGAATATGTATGTATATGTATTTTATTACTTTAGCTTACATGCCAAGAAAGGATGTTAGAATAATATATTTTTATAGTAGAATATGTCTATATATGTGTGTGTATATGTACAAAGGAAATTTAAGGTAAATAGAAAACACGGGAGCAATAAATCAAACTGGCAATAATAGTTATACTGAATTAAAATAGTCCGCTTGTGCATGCACACACTTGTTAGAATATGAGAAAGCAGACGATTCTTTTGTTCGTTGTTTTTCAAGCGGATTTGCGCATCGATATATATATATATATATATATATATATATATATATATATATATATATATATATATATATA